ACTAAGCATAATTGGTATCACTAAAGAAGAGAACCAAAATAATAGAAGAAACTATTTAAATAAAAATTTTAATAAAACTTTCCATGATTGAAAAGAAGGCTATGACCCTAGAGAAATTAACTCACAATCAACAGTGAGTTATATCCTAGTAAAATTACTGATTTTCAAAGATAAATAAAGAATTGGAAATCTGGGAAAAAGAAAAATGTAGGCCTCTTTTTCAATTAGATTCAATTCACCTATTAAAGGGAAGAAACAATTCAACTCACTTTGGTCTTTCCATAGCACTTCTAGGTGACAGTGGAGCCATGCCTCTAAAATCATTGAAGAAGACATTTTGGCCTGAGAATTTATGCCCAGCCAGATTTTAATTCAAATAAATGAATGTAAAAACATTTTTTAATGTGAGAGAACTCGAGGAATGTGGTTCCCTTCTTCAACAGACTTTAACCCAACTGATGATGAGGTGAATGGACAAGGCAGGGCAGTATGCAGTGAATCTAGCTCATGCAGGGCTAAGGCATAAAGGAAAGTGAAGATTATTATTTCAGAATTGAATGTAAATAGTAAAAATTTTGAAAACATAGAATGATAGCATAACATAAAATATAGGACAAAATTTTTAAAGCAACACATAACAAAAATATTTATAACTCATAATGAAGATAAATAATTATAAACATCTACATAAGAAGAATTTTAAGATGTCCTCCCAATATTCCTGTATTTCAGTATCCGTGTCTTCAATAAATCCCTCCCTTTGTAGCTGTAAAGGTAAGGGAGGATGTGGGCTGTATCTCTAGCTGGGAGGATATGCCCACGTCCCATAATATGGCAAAAGGAATTTTACAGATGTAATGAAGGCTACTAGTAGCTGACTTTGAGTTAGTGTGGAACAGTGTAGCATCAAAACAATAAGGCAAAACTAAACTATAAGAAAGTTAAAGAAAGTTACTGGTTTATGTACTAATACAAAATACTCTTTTGCAGTATTAGTAGTAGAAGACTATAATTCACCTTTGTCAGCATGAAAACAAGAAAGAATTTAAGACTTAGTAAAGACAAAGGTAAGTGTGTGTATGTGTTTGCATGTTGTGGAGAAAGATCCATATATCAATCTCTAGCCATAAAAATAGAGAATATATCTTTTATCTCTAATGCCCACGTAAAGGACTATTCACAAAAGAAAACCGCATTAGGCTAGAAATTTCTGTATAAGTTCCAAAATGTAGAAATAGCAAAAATATGCTCTGGTTACAAAGCAAAACATTAGAAAGTAATAATGAACTTATGAAACAACCCCCCCCCAAAAAAAAAAACCCTACCATTTTTTATCTAAACTACTCTATTTTAAACAATTCTTGGGTCAAAGAGGAAATTGATACAGAAATTACAGTATTGATAATGCAGCATCACAGGACCTAGACCATGCAGCCAAAACAGTGCACAGAAAAAGATCCATAAGGTAAAATATTTAGACTACCAGAAAGAATGAAAATATTTGAATCAAATATCCAAAACAGGAAGTTAGAAAAAAATAAGCAAAAACAAAAAAATGAATCTAAGGAAGGCAGTAAGAAAGAAGACATACATAAAGACAAAGCTGAATTTCTGATTTAATAAGGAAATAATGAGACTAATAAGTTCAAATTTTGATACTTTCCCATGATGAAAAGGACATTCACTTCTATGACATGCTTTCCAAAAACCTATATTCCCAGTCTCATCATGAGGAAAACACAAGATAAACATAAATCAAGGGATAGTCTGTAAAATACCCAAGTACCTTTCAAAACTGTCAAGGTCATGAACAAGGGAAGATGGTGAAACACTTACAGATCAGTGGAAACTAGGAGGCCCGAGGGCCGAATGCAGTGTGGGATCCTGGCTTGTATCCTGAAACAGAAAAACCCGAGAAATCCAAATAAAATGTATAGTCCAGTGAATGCCAGAGTACTAGTATTCGTTTCTTAATTTTGCAAAAGTCCCACGGTTATGTAAGATGTTAACATTAGGGGAAGCTGTGTGAAGGGTATATGGGATCTCTGTGCTAGTTTTGCACATTTTCTTTAAATCTAAAATTATCCCCCGAAAATATTTTAAAGAACTTCAGAAGACCTAGAAAATCTAGGCAGAGCAATTAAAATGAAAGAAATACAAGTGATCATCAAAGGGCTAACTCCTCAGACAAACAAACAAAAGCTTTCTAGGTCCTAAAGTTTCTATAAAAGACTTTTACCAAACATTTCAGTAACTGATAACTCCAATCTTTGTATTTTTAAGATTTTATTTATTTATTTATTTATTTATTTATTCATTCATTCATTCATTCATTCGAGAGAGAAAGAGCATGAGCAGAATGGAGGGGGTGTGGTAGAGGGGAGAAGCAGAGCAGACTCCCCACTGACTGGAGAGTCCAACAGAGGGCTCGATCCCAGAACCCTGAGATAACGACCTCAGCTGAAGGCAGATGCCCAATTGGCATCCCCGATAACTCTAATCTAACTAATCACTCTAATAACATAGAGAGATTTTAAAAAGCACTCACATTCTTTCCCATGAAGTAAATAATTAACTTAATTTTTAAGATATTATTATATTATTAAGAATAAGATAATTTTTTCCTTTATAATTTTAGTGTAGATATTTCTATTTTCTATAAACACTGGGTGGTATATCCAGTAATGGCAAATAATGGTAGAAATCTGTCTCATTCTTGACTTCAATGAGAATACTTCTAATTATTTCCTTATTACATTTGGTTCTAGCATTTGTATTTACATATCACATCAAGAAATTAACCGCATAGTTACATTACTAAGAATTGTTATCAAGTATAACTTGGGGTGCCTCAGTGGCTCAATCATTTAAGCATCTGACTTCTGATTTCACTCAGATCATGATCTCAAGGTTGAGAGACTGAGCCTGGCTTTGGGCTCTGTGCTGAGCATGGAGCCTGCTTAAGATTCTTTCTCTCCTTCTTTAAAAAAAAGAAAAAGAAAAGAAAAGAAAAAAAAAGAATAGACTTAAAATTTTATCAGATATTTTTTGCCTCCACAAAAATAATCATGTAAATTTTCTTCTTTTTAAAGCAATTAACATTAATTGTATTATAGGTTCCCTTTTATTGAACCACCCCTATATTTTTGGAATAAATACCACTTGGTTATAGCTCATTATTTTTTTTAAAGATTTTATTTGTTAGAGAAAGAGAGAGAGCACAGGAAGGGGAAGCAGTGGGAGTGGGAAGTGGGAGAAGGAAGCTCCCCACTAAGAAGGGAGCGTGGCATGGGACTCCATCCCAGGACCACAGAATCATGACCTGAGCCAAAGACAGACACTTAACCCACTGAGCCACCCAGGGGCCCAGTTTGTTATTCTTTTTATGTGGTTCTGTATTCTGTTTGCTAATCTTTTTGTTATGTTGTTCTATAGCATTCATTATGAATTTATCTAAAGTTTTAGTGTACCTGTGTGTACACATACTATCCTTCTTAGGCTTTGCCATCAAAGTCATACTAACTTTAAATTTAGGTATTTGTCACAATAAGGTGATGGAAGATTAAGCTGATTCCCTTTTAACTAGTCTCCTTCTCTCTAACTAGTAACTGGTCTCGAGACTCTGCAGTCCAGTGTGCAATGGCATCGCATAGTAAGTGATATTCTGTAAGACATGATTGCAACTGAAGTCTCTTGGGTTAAAAAAATAATAATTTGTTCATTGTCCCTACTATGGGGATATCATAATTAGTGTTTAAAATGCATGTTTGGGCAGCCCCGGTGGCTCAGTGGTTTAGAGCCGCCTTCAGCCTCAGGCGTGATCCTGGAGACCCGGGATAGAGTCCCGCGTCAGGTTCCCTTCATGGAGCCTGCTTCTCCCTCTGCCTGTGTCTCTGCCTCTCTCTCTGTGTGTGTGTGTCTCTCATGAATAAATAAATAAAATCTTTTTTAAAAATAAATAAATAAATAAAAATAAAATGCATGTGTTTGGGACAAGGAAAAAAGGCAGTTTTATTAAAAACTGCCTTTGATTTTTTTCTTCCCTGCAAAATCATATTCTTACTCACCCTAATGTGTTCCTGGAAATGAGTTCAACATGAATTCAAAAGGATGAAGGTTTTGACCAACCATCCCACTGCTTCTCTCCACCTTCCCATCTTTTAACTGAGCTGCTACAATAGGCTCATATCCTTCCTTCCATCATCACTGTGGAAACCATTCCCTCCAAACTAGGTCAGAAGTAATGCCATGAGGAAACAGAAAAAGAAAAATGTTTTTCCCAATTCACAGCCACATCCCAGAGAAATAAAGATCAGACGATGAAGAGAGCTGTGAGAGAGGGAACCCCTTCCCCACTCCAATTATAGAGACTAACACTTACATAGCATTTATAACATGTTAGTCATGCTCTAAGTGCTTTATTTTTCTTTTTTTTCCTTTTTTTTTCTAAGTGCTTTAAATAAATAACTCATTCAATCACTAACCTCCATGGTAAGTACTACTGTTACCCCACTTGGCAATTGAAGAAACTAAGGGCAGGAAAGGATCCGCCCATAGTCATATAGCTACCAAATGGCAAAGCCAAGATACAGACTCATGGAATTGGGTTCTAGGGTGGCCAGCCTAAGTATCAAACTATACTGTATCACCCCTACAACCAAGAATTTTTCCTGCCCTGGGGATCAAGGAGAAGCTTTGAATAAAATTATCAAGATTTTAAATAAATATATTCAGTATTAATAATTTGGTAAAGTTGTTCAAATAACCAAAAGAGATAGAAAACTCAGGGAATCAGACTCAGATGCCAATAAGTGAGACCACTTTCTAGGAGGGAATCTAGGGTAAAGGATTGGCAGAGAAGAGAGGGATAGAGCACAGGAGCAGCAGTTACAGGAAAAATAGAACCATGGCACATTTATCAAAACTAAGAAATTAATAGTACAATTATATTAACTAAACCATAGATTTCATTTGGATTGTGGCTGTTTTACCTGTTCTAGGATCCAATCCGGGATCCCACTCTGCATTTGGCTATTAGGTCTCCTAGTTTCCGATCTGTAACTGTTTCACCATCGTTCCGTGTCCATGATCTGACAGTTTTGAAGGGTACTGGTCAGGTATTTTATAAGAAGTCCATTGATTTGAATTTATTTGGTATTTTTCACATGATTACACTGGAAATATGGGTTTGGAGGGAAATATCACGGAGATAAAGTGTCTGCATATTCCATCACTGGAATGATGTCCAGGAAACCAACAATTGTAGATTCAGGGGCTGGGAACTATGATATGGAAGGTGAGGCAAAACTTGGAGACTCTTCCCACTGTTTACCCTTTTGTACTGTATATGTGCATATATTACTTTTTAAAATCTTTAAATAAATAGGATATCATGCTTTAAAATTTTATTCAAAGAGATACTTGCATAGGTAATCTAAGTTTCATCAGTGGGTCAAATAATGTATTTGTCCCTAAATGTGAAATCTATCTCTTGCTCTTATACAGGGGCTCTTTACTATACATGTCTGTAAATGCTCCTCACTCCCAAACTCCCAATTTTATATTAATTTTTACCTTCATTTTCTCTTAGCTTTTATTTATTTTTATATCATTGGATATTTTTTCTTTATATCTAAGCCCCTTTATTTCCTTGTGCAGAGCTGGAATCTTAATTAATAAATTAGTGGAGGGGATCCCTGGGTGGCTCAGCAGTTTAGTGCCTGCCTTTGGCCCAGGGCATCAAGGTTAGATGGCTCTTGGGATACAAAACAAACTTGCTTGATGTAGATGTCAGGGTGTGAGCCTAAGTTGAGTTCCCGCTAGGATTCAAGCATGTCTGGACTACCACTCCCATTGAGGCAGAACAGAATGAAAAAGCCTGCAAGAAAAGAGCACATCTCAAATGAAGATTTTCAAAGTAGTGGCTCAAGAACAGGGGCTGAAGGAAGAGGGGAGGAGAGGCTCTCACTGAGGCAGTTGCTGAGTCCTAGGACGATGGGGCTGCTGTGAGAGAGAAAGGCAACAAGCAGCTGAAAAGAGTAAGAGTAAATAAGGTTGCCTGTGGCTCTTGCTGTAAAGCCAGAGCACCTTTTGTGGATCCCACCTCTCTTGATAATGGCTATCAGCAGCCATGCGACGCTATCAGCACTTACTAACAGGAGCCCCAATGCCTTTGACAGATGGCAGCAACCACCTCAGCACAATCTTGTGGCTTCCACAGGGATGGGCAATGTCATCACAGCACAGCAGCAAAAAGGGAGTTATCACACTTTTAAACTACTATAGACAGCTCAAATATAGAAAAGAAATCTTTCTATATCTAATTAGATAAACCTATCCAAAAATTTATCAGCGAATTTTACTCAATTATATTCCCAGATCAACTTTGGAGTATCCTTGTGGAATTTCTCCCAGAATTTCTTTGGCATTTTAATTAGGATTGCATTAAATTTACAGATTAAATTATTGTCACATCATCTGGCACATGTATTTTTTTTCTTTCCACTTACTGGAATCTTCATGTAGACCTTATACATTTCTTGATCATTTATATAGGGGTATTTTATAGACTTTATGGTTACTGAGTGTAGAATATATATATGATTTATAAATTTTCCCTCAGCACCCTGCTTGTCTTATCTTTTCCTTAACTGTATCTTTTGAAGAGCAAAAGGTTTTAGTATTAATCAAGTCTAATGTATAATTTTTTTCTTCTGTTGACTGTGCTCCACAGCCATATCTAAGAAAACTGCCTAAACTAAAAATGACAACAATTTTATCCTATCTTTTCTTCTGAAGTTTTTATAGTTTTGGCACTTACATTTAGATCCATCATCCATCTTGATTTATTGTTGTATAGGCATGAGATAATATAGATTTGTGTTTTTAAATATGAATATCCATTGTCCCACTCTTATTTTTAACATATAGTCTCATAGCATTGTTGCAAAACATGTGACCTGCACAATTTCTATCTCTGAGATCTTAAGTTTCCTTTGTGAAGTGGATATATGATAAGTTTTAGAATTTCTTATGGTTTTATGAAAGTAGAATACTCTCATTTTTAAAATACATGCAAAATAGATGGGTAAAAAAATTACCATCTTCAAAATAGCCATCACCAATTATGACTCCAGCCATTTCTGTAGAATACAAGTAATTTTCTCTAAAAAATATTTTGAAGGTATAATTTACAGGGTTTTTTTTTTCTGTTATCCAGTATTACCAATGAAAAACCTGATCATGTTCTTATTCTCTAGTTTTTGTCATCTGTTTTCTCACTGGAAGCCTTGAAGTTTATCTTTATCTTGGGTAAAATGAAATTTCATAACAACTTGTATTTTGTATTCAAATATACTAGATAGTTATGTTTCAATCTAAAGACTCCAAGAAGTTATTTTGCATTACTGGTTGAGCAATATTCTTTCTTATGTGTCCTGCATTCTTTCTTTCTGGAACTTCTATTAGTGACATACTAATTGTAACATTTTAAGACATCCCAAGATCTCATGGCTTTAAATTTTTGGACTCTCCACTATCAGTTACACATGAAAACATACCGAAGAATCAATTTAGGACAGAACCAAAGTGTTTCTCTATATGAAAGGATTGAGGTGTGTGTATTAGTGAATTGGCACATCAGAATGCTAACTGACAAGACAATTTCAATAATGCTCTAGGACTGTTTGAGAAGAGATTAATGCCTTGGGTAGTCATATAATTCAAATGTAGTTCTGTGGTTCATTCTAACTGCTATCTTCAATTGTCCCTAGTAAGAGTAAAAAGAAATCTGGAAGTTTTTAAAATGTTTGCATATTAATTTAATCACTGAACCAACACACAATAGTTTTTCAGGTGTCACTGGACTACTTGTTGGAATATTTGTGGTTCTCCAGGGGTTAGATTTGCTATTACAACTTCCAACTTGACCAGATAACATTGAGTGATGAGGATAATAACACTTTTTCTGATGATTGAAGATTTATTAGTTTAGAGAGGAAACTTTCCATATTGAATAGAAAAGCAGTTTGGTAATATGATCTATCTAGAAGTATTAGTGTTCATAGATACCATTAGTATAATCAAAGTGGAAAACAAAAGGCATAAGAGATGGCAAATTAAAGTCATAGATGGACTAGGGAAAGTCAACTTGAAATTGTTCCAAAATAAGTGCCAGTTCCATAGCCCTTTCTAAAATGTGGGCATAAACAAAGTGTCTGCAATTACCAGATGACTAAATTTTATCAATTATTTGGAGTTAAAGTATTCTGTTCCAATGGATATCACAGGAAACTTGTGAATAATTTTTATATTATTCTGATAATCATTAATGACCAACCCAAGAGTCTAAAACCAAGTTTAAACTAGGGATATGTTACAGAAAGGAGTCATAAGGAGCCTTCAAAAAGTGAGAATAATCAGAGATATTCATCCTCTTGAACTGTTGGAGTTGATGTGAACATGATGGTTTTCATGATATGTTTCACTCAGTTTCTTTTTTTATATTACTAAGAATACTACCTATTACAAGTTCTGAGGGCTTAAAGATTATGTTAAAGAGATAAGAGGGTGAGAAAACAGTAAATTGTATCACAGAATTCTATCAGATATTGAGACAGATATGTGTGAACATAGGGCTTCACAATAGGCTGTCACCAGCAAGTTTTGGAATGCATGAATGAAGCAACATTGAGACTTGGACTTGAAACAGTATTTTTACTAACCAGTACCAAATAGATATTACTATTGTGCTATTGGACACACTAACTGGTTATGATGTCCATGTATACTTGAGCTTAAAATAAAACTCCTCTCTTTGCTGACCCCAATCAAAGAAAGTGGAATTCCTCTCCATTTAGGAAGTCAGGGAAATTTGAGTCTCTGTGTTTGTAGAGGTCCTCTACTTTTACAGTTATGCTCTAACTTTTGAGTTATCTCAAGAGAGTATACTCTCCATCAACAAGGCAATTCACCAGAAATGCTCACTGATCTGTTTAGGGTAGAGGAATCAAAGAAAGCACAGGGAGCAGAAGTCTACCTGAGAACAAAGTTTAAAAGAAAGCTATGAGGTCTCTAGGCATAGAATGTCAAGGTCTTTTCAGTGAGTATTAATATTTTACACCAGAATCAGCCAAAAGTCAGGTACTGCACCAAGTACACATTGTTGTGAATGAAAATTAGTGTTTTGCCACAATGCAACCTTGCTTTTTTCAGAGTCTCATGTGTTGACTTTGGTCTTGTAGAAAGGAAAAGTAAACCTTGGCTATGAATACCTTTTTTTTTTTTGTCCACTTGTATATAGATTCATTTGTGCCTGAAGATATCTGAGGACCCCAGATCCAAATGTGAGACCCAAACTCCATGCATCAGCATAGTGAACCTGCCTATTTGGGCAGCAACCTTGTACTGAACTTTTCCCACCTAAGTCATCAATGGCTTTCATGGCTCCACGTCCAAAAGATATTTTTCTGTCTTTTTCTTGCATGACCTTTAAGCAGCATTTGACACTGTTACCAGTCACTATGTGTCTCTTAAATCTCTCCTATTTCCCCTTCCAATAGGTTAACCAATCCTATTCTGTTGCAGTCTCTTTTCTACTGGGTAACATTAGCCTTAATTGTTCTTGTCACAACCACTTTATCTTGTTCAATCAAGTCTACAAAGCAGCCCTGTGATCTTGTCCCTCCTTTGGTTAAATGAGATGAGTGGTAAATCTTTAGGGCTCACAAAAGGACTTGTCATGATTGGCCTCTCTGACTCCACAACTTAACCACTGTCCTTGCTCTCTTTGCTCTAGCCTTCTTTCATGTCCTCCTAATGCAGTTCTCAATTCTGGCTTCATATTAGAATTACATGTGGAGCTTTAAAGACAAAACAAAACAAAAACTACTCTTGGGGTCATACCTCTAGAGATTTTGATTCCCTGGTGTGGGGTGAGTTCTAGGCATCTGTATTTTTAGATTTTAGAAGATATCCTAATTTTAAGGCTCAGCCAGGGTTGAGAACCACTTCTCTAATGCACCTTTTCTCAACTCAAGTTCTTAGCACATACTGTCCCCCTGTTTGAAAAACTCTTCCTCCACTCCCCCCACCCCCAGAATCTCTAGGTTGAAATTAAAAGTTGTTTTTAAAATGAAATTTCCTGGATATCCTTTGCTAGTTAGCTTCCCTTAATAATTCCTATGATTTGCCTTTTAGACATCACAATTTCTTTTATTTGTTTTAAGTTTGCTTTCCCATAAGATTAAAGACAAAAATTATCTGTTTTTTCCCTGTTCTAGCTCCACTGCCTAACATGTAATAAAAACTAAAAAAAAAAAAAAAATTAAAAATAAAAAAATCTTATGGTTAATTGAAAATGTCTGTGTCCTGGGAAATCAGCCTTGGTTAGATATTAAATAACTATTTAGTCCCCAATCTTTCCATAATAAGATTCTTGGCTGAGAAGGAAGATTTATAAGGATGACAAGGACTTTTTGATGACAAAGTGTATATTTGGGATAACATCTTGAGCCTAGACCATGTTTATCATAAGATCCTAATACATCTGGAGAATTGGTGTTGTAGGCCTTTCAGGAGTGTCTGAAAATGAAGGCCCCACATCTTCCTGGAAGCTTTCTAAGGAAAGAAAGTTGAGGCACAAAACTAGCTTAAAGAAAATGATCCATGAAGAAAGATTGGGGCAATTCTATATAGAACCCATTAAACTTTTTCAAGGATTTCTCTCACTAATCTTCTTAGGAGTGTAAATCATAAACAAGTAAAAACTAAAAGAACCAGAATCCTGAGAAAGCACAGTGTGGTTACACTAGTTCTGATGGCTTCTGCAGTAGTGGAAAATAATTCAAGTGGCTTTGGGAGTCAGGGATGAATTAGCTCTGGGTGTAGCCTTCAGCTCTCTTAATATTTGGCCTTGGCATGATTGGAGGAATGTGAGAACACCAGCAAAAATGTCACTACCTTCGGTAAAACACCAACACAAACAGGAGGCTGAAGGGGTAAGGACATTGAATATTCATACCCTCAATTCAGATTCCTCATCTCTCTGCACTTTGGTGTTTCACTATTGTCAAAGAGAGGAGGATTCTAGTGAGCTAGAAATGAAGGAAAAGTTGCAGACTAACATAATAGTCTATAGGACCCTGTCCATGGTTCCGTTTGAGCATTCACAGGATTGTGGGAATTACTAGAAGGGAGTTCAAATTCCCTCAGAATAATGATTATTATGATAATACCATTTCCCCCCAGGCTAAGGTGGCATCAGAAACACATAATGTATGTGATTTGAAACATCTGAGGTTTAAGGAACCTAGTCAAATAGGCATGACTCCAATTTTTCTGGCCAAGAATGACAACAGATATTGAACAAAAATGTCAATGATATAAGATATATATAAAAAGCAGATGGTCAGCTTAAAGAAGAAAGCCAAAATAATATATATGGAAGCTTAAGGCCCACCAGGCTGGTCCTAGAACCTAGTATTATGAAACATATTACGAAGTACATATTTCCAGGTTTTGACCATTTTATCATTTACTATGGGTTTCCAATGAAGAGCCATTCTGATTAAAGAATAATTGAAAATGAGATGGAGGAGAACCTATCCATATAATAGAAGTTAAAGCCAGCGTAATAATCATTATTCCCCAGAGGAGGTACTGAAAAATTTCTGAGAACCCTGGTGAGCATGTTATGTACTCTGAACAATAACAAAAAACCTATTTGGGGAAAGCAGGTGAAATTCCTGGCCAATTCCTATAACTTTCTAGACTGACACCACTACAAAACCAGTTTATAGATGTTAGACAATCCTTATCACTTGCTGATGTATGCACTGGTTTTTGGCATTACGTTAACATTAGTGGTACCTATGGTACAGGCAAACCATGTCCACAACAAAGAAGGGATGTGCTGTAAATTAGTTAATCAACAAAAAATGGGATGCCAAAGTAATACGAGCAGAACAATAACCTGAGTTGTGATAACATTTTTGGCTCTATGAAAAAAAAAGAGAAGCTAGCTAACAGATGGGAAGCAGAGGTCCATGTTACTATAGATCTAGTAACTGACAATTTATTACTGTGAAGCAAGCTCCAGGATTGAGAGAAAATAGTTCACTTAAAAAGTGCTTCTCAATCCTGACTGTTCATCACAATCACCTGGAGGCCTTGGTTTTGTTTTGTTTGTTTGTTTTTTAATGTCTGGTCTTGAATCCAGACCTATTAATTCTCTGGAGATGTTGCTAAGGAATCAAAATCAATGTTTTTCAGCCCCTCTGCATACAGCCAGGGTTGGGACCCAGTGATTAGATTTGACGTATCACAAATTGATTTCCAAGGACTAAAGCCCAGTTACAACTTTGTCTGTGGGGAAAAGTTCCCATTGAGGCAATAGTCCCAAAAAATCATTGCTTAGATAGAGACAGGATGTTCAGTTTGTCACTGCCTAGAGAAATGAGTACTAGTGTATTTCTGGCCAAATTGAAAGAAAATAGTGACAAGGACAAAAATGTCAAATTTCAAACTAGACAAATCACCATTTATTGTTCCATGTCACAGTGAGAGTTGTCCACCATACAAGTTTTATATTCTCTAAGTAATGATAACATGCAATATAGTAATAAACAACATAGCAAAGAATTATCACAATTTTAGATATGAATATAAATATTTTAGAGAAAGAGGTTCCCCGGGTGGCTCAGATAGTTGACAGTCCAACTCTTGGTTTTCAGATGGCCACCTTCTCCTTGCATCCTCACGTGGCAAAAAGAGAGAAAGCAAGCGCTCTTTCATCTCATAAGGGCATGAGCCCCATCTTGGGGTTCTTCTCTCATGACTTCATCTAAATCTTATTATCTCCCAAAGGTCCATCTCCAAATACCAACACATTGGGGATTAGGGTTTCAATATATGGCTTGGAGGGGATATAACATGCACTCCAAAATGTGTGCTTAATAAGCAGGTAGTCCTATCCTTTGAAATAGCTCTTGCATCCCACAAAGGTAAGACATAGATCCCACAGGGCACTCAATGCTGGAGTCAGAGGAGCAGCACTGAACAGATGGGAAAGGGCTTGTGTTAGGGTGATAAGTGATCAGTGGCAGGTATTTGCATATTCATTAGAGGGAATAAATGCCTTTAGAAATAGCATTATTCTACAACAGTATAAAAAAGAACTTTGACTTATTTCAGAAGTACAGACTAAGAATTTCCACAAACAGCACTATTGGGTCTGTTGCAAAACGGTGACATTGCAACAGAGGCTTGCATAAACAAAGCTAGGATGCACACAAGAAAAGAGATGCTCTTCCACTGGGCTTCCCCTAGTTTCTTCAATAAAGAATTCTAAAGTCTTAATGGAATCTCATTGACTATCACTGATAAGTTTAAATAGCTGTACCGTGACCTGTACATGGTTCTCATTTTATAGCATGAGACATTCTTCATTAAGGCCTGACTTAAATCATCCTGCTGGTATTTTTTATCAAGAGACTCCACTGAAGAACATAGCTAACAAAATTTTGTCGGGAAATGCTAGTTATAGAGGCACAGCAGTTGGCTGTAAAAGGCTACCATTAAGCCAAGATGCTATCGTGGATTTCAGTTAGGGTTTTTCTCAGCATTACAAAATTTTGGACTTATATTCCAGTCCAGTTTGGTCTCTTTAGTCTCACAGGAGTGACAACATTGATTCTTTTCTTTTTCTGATCCTTCCAGGTGAACAGCACTCCGAGCCTATGGGATGCATACTCAAGACTGTTAAGTGACCAAGCCATGGTCCTCTCCCTGAACTCCAGGTACAATAAGCTCGAACACTCTCCCATTTCACTGACTAAATATCTTTAAAATGCAACAGAGAAAAATCAACAATTGTGAAAAACAGAAAATTACTCCAAATCCCACTATCCTAATTCAGCAGCTACTATTTTTCTTTCTCATATTCTTCAATTCTTTTTTTTTATTTATTTATGATAGGCAATTCTTAAATATTTTACAGATAAACAGATAATCTAATTATTGTACAATAATAAGCAGATTTACTGTAATATTTTTCCTTTTGGCATTATGTCTTAAGTTTTTATCTTTCTACATACTCATATTTTCATTTGAATGGCAATATAATATTACCCAATTTTGAAATGTTCTAAATTATATTTTATTTTACCAATATTATGATAATCATCTTTACACATAAATGGTCATATCTTCTCTGAAATATGTTTTTGAAATAGCATTCTGTGGGTGAGGTTACTGATTTAGATAATAGGCAACTACAAAAATGCCCTGCTGCTGGAAATGCTGTTGACCAGTCCCAGCCACTGCCTGTGTAGATCCACCAGCACGACCACCCAGGCAGCATAGTGGGACAGTCAATTTCAGCGAGTGACTTTGAATCTAGGAAACCCATCAACCTGGCTAAACCCTTCTTGGAACTTGCTGTAGTCTAAGATACTTTCTTCCCTAACCCTCCTTCCTTCCTTCTTTCCTTCTCTTAGAAATCTTATGCACCTCTAATCCTGTCTTGGCATCCATTACCCATACACTAAATGGAATGAAAATATTCTTAGAGTTTTTAATAAGGAGTCAGTTTGCTGTCCAGAAAAACCTCACTAACAATAAATACTTCTTCAAAGCCTAGTCACCAGAAAATACATATATTTTCTATTTCACTGATTTAATAGGTTCAGAATTGTACCTCATTGTATTTCTTTCAAAAAAAAGCAAAATTCAATATTTTCTGTATATTTATATATTTATTAATTTTCTCATGTGGGAATTTTCTTGTGGTCTTTGCTACTTCATTAGGATTTTAGTGGTGGCATATACTTAGTAAGCTTCTCAAGGCATTTTTATGGTTTTAAAATTTTTAATTCTTTTTTTATCTTGTCAGAATTGGCTTTAGTGTCATTGCTGTATATTTTTTCTTTCACCTTTTTGTATGACATCTGATATAAAATTAATTCTACATCACACTTTACTATTATGACTTTCTCCTGGTTTTGTTACTCGATTTTTGTTACTGTTTAGGCTATAACAGATTTTTTTTTATGTTATAAACTAATTTAAATTATCTTCACAATTCCATTATACAAACCAGAAGTCTACAAACTTGGCCCATTTAGCCATAGCTACGTCCTGCTATTTTTGCAGCATCCTGGTTTGTACATTCTGAGAAATCAGAATGTTTTTTCCTTTTTTTTTTTTTTTTGAGAGAAAGAGAGTGTGAGTGGGGAGGGATGAGGCAGAGAGAGAGAGAGAGAGAGAATCCTAAGCGGGCTTCATGCTCAGAACAGAGCCCACAGGGGTATCTATCTCACAACCCTAAAATCATGACCTGAACTGAAATCAAGAGTAGGATGCTTAGCTGATTGAGCCACCCCACCCAGGCACCCTTGTTTTTTACATTTTTAAATAGTTGAGGGAGATTAAAAGAAGAAAGATATTTCACAACATGCAAATGTTATATGAAATTCAAATTCCAGGGTCAGTAAACAAATTTTTGTTGAAACAGACATATTTATGTATTTATTCATGCATTGTCTATGACTGCTTTTGCATTATGATGGCAGACCTGAGCAGACAGAGACCATTTGGTTAGCAAAGCCTAGTATACTTGTTATCTGGACCATCACAGAAAATGTTTGCTAATCCCAATACAGATAATGATTGTTGAAAATGCTTCATTTCCAAAGACTTGCTTAAACTCTGAATGTTTTTTAAAAATATTTGTCTGTATAATGGAATAGTTATGAATTTAAGGGTTCCAAGCTGTTCTTGAGTATCTTGATGGCAGTGGTGGATCCACTAAATACACACACACACACACACACACACACACACACACACAAGCACAAATAAAACAGGAAACCTAAACAAGATGGGTGTATTGAATCAATATAAATATCCTGGTGGTCTTTGTAGAATGTTACCACTGGGGAAAACTGGGGAAGCATATTGGATGTTTCTTTGTATTATTTCTTACAACAGCATGTAAATTTACAAATAGCTCAATAAAATTTTAATTAAAAAGAGAGCTCTAAGAATGTTTGTATTCTGACCCATCATGAAATAGTGTCATAATAAATTAGTGCCACATTTGGTCAGGTAGGGGAGATAGAGTATTTATCCAGGTATTTTCTATTCCCATATTAGGTATTCTCTAGAATTTATATTCTCTTCCATTGTTTAGAATTTTGTTGTGGTGCCACCATTAAACTGTTTTGATTTAGTGCTGTTTTGTAATAGATTTTATTATCTGATTGAACTGGATCTTCCTTATTTTCTTGATAATTTTCAGCACAGTAACCTGGGATAATCCCTCCAATTTATTTTTCTAAGTGGAAGGTAAATGTATTTTATGAACTGCTGATGAAAATATCCTGAAGTTTTAATTTCACTGTCAGAGTTTGTAAAATAATTTGAGAATAATTGACATTTATAAGTAATCTTTCCATTTATAAACCTGTCTTTCTAATTACTCAAGTTCTGTTTTCTATTCTCTAAAAGTATGAGGATTTTTTGGTATATATTCTGCACATTACTAGACTAATTTCTTAGTTATATTGTATTTTGTTTCCTCCACCCTCATGTTATTGTTTGGACAGCAATTTCTGATATACTAGGAATCATTTGGGAGGTATATTTATCCAGTGTTTGAGCTCACTGAACTATTTTTATTAGACCATGTCTTATGGTCTAATAAAATTTGAAAAACAACAAATTCTAACACAATATTTCAAAATAGGAAATTGAACCCTTATGTTGTTCCTGTTTTTAATAAAAACTCTTACACTACTTCTCAATTAGCGAAATGTTGGTTTAAATAAAACCTTTCAAAAAACTATTCAAACTATTCATTTTTCCTTAAAAAAATGATGTTGATATTTATTACATACTTTTTCAAGATAGGTTAAGACATGAGTTTTAATTTAATCTATTATAGGTATGTGCTAATTAATAGTTTTTAGGATATTGGGCCATCCTTACATTCTGATGATAAATCATAATTGGTGGTTTTAAAAAATATTATGAAAATTTAAACTTTATACTCATAAATTATTGCAATTATTGCAATTATTGCAATTCCAGTAACATAATAACATAGGTAACATACAATGTTATGTTAGTTTCAGGTGTACAATCTAGTGAGTGATTCAGCAGTTTCATATATTACTTGAAGTTCATCAAGATAAGCGTACTCTTAATCCCTGTCATCTATTTCACTCATCTCCTCACCCACCTCCTCTCTAATAACTATCTTTAACCAGACTCTGTGTAGTTAAGAGTATGTTTTTTTGGTTTGTCTTTTTCCCCCCTTTGTACATTTGTTTTGTTTCTTAAGTTCCACATATAAATGAAATCATATGACACTTGTCTTTTTCTGACTGGTTTATTTTGCTTAGCATTATACTCCTTAGATCAATTTGTGTTGTTGCAAATGAGATTTCATTCTTTTTATGGCTGAATAATATTCCATTGTATATATACACCATTTCTTCTTTATCCATTCCAAAATGGACACGTGGGTGGCTTCCACAATTGGTCTATTGTAAATACTGTTGCTATAAACATAGGGGTACATATACCCCTTTGAATTAGTGTTTTCATATTCTTTGGGTAAGTACTCAGTAGCATGATTACTGGATTGTAGGGTAGGGTAGTTCTATTGCTAAGTTTCTGAAGGACCTCTATACCACCTTCCACTGTGGCTATACCAGTTTGCATTACCACCAACAGTGCAAAAGTATCCCTTTTTCCACATATCCTTGCCAAAGCCTGTTGTTTCTTGTTGATTTTAGCCATTCTGACAGGTGGGAGGCGATATCTCATTGTGGTTTTGATTTGCACGTCCCTGATGATGAGTGATGTGGAGCATCGTTTCATTTGTTGACCATCTGGAAGTCTTCTTTGAAGAAATGTCTGTTTGTGTCATCAGCCCATATCTTTGTTTTTTGGGTGTTGACTTTCATAAATTCTTTATATATTTTGGATGCTAACCCTTTATCAGACATGTCATTTGCAAATATCTTCTCCCATTCCATAGGTTGTCATTCGTTTTGTTGGTTTTCTCCTTTGTTGTGCAGAAGCTTTTTTTACTTTAATGAAGTCCCAGTAGTTTATTTTTGCTTTTGTCTTCCTTGCCTCAGCAAGCATATCTAGAAAGATGTTGTTATGGCCAAAGCCAGAAATTACTGCCTGTGTTCCCTTCTAGGATGTTTGTAGTTTCAGGTCTCACATTTAGATCCTTAATCCATTTGGAGTTTATTGTTGTGTATGGTATAAGAAAGTGGTCAGTTTTATTACTTTGTATGCAGCTATCCAGTTTTCTCAACGTTTGATGAAGAAATTGTCTTTTTCCCATTGCATATTTTTGTCCCCCTTTGTTAAAGGTTAATTGGCTATATAATTGTGGTTTATTTCTGGGTTTCCTATTCTGTTCCATTGATCTATGTGTGTTTTTGTGCCAGTACCATATTGTTTTGATTACTACAGCTTTGAAATATAAATTAAGTCCAGAATTGTGATGTCTCCAGTTTTGTTTTTCTTTTTTAATTTCTTTTAACAATGTTTTATAGTTTTCAGAGCAGAGGTCTTTCACTTTTTGATTAGGTTTATTTCTAGGTATCATATTTTTTGTGCAATTGTAAATGGGGTGATTTTCTTAATTTCTTTTTCTGCTGCTTAATTATTGGCATATAGAAATGCAACAGATTTCTGTAAATCAGTTTTGTACCCTGTGATTTTACTGATTTGTTTATTAGTTCTAGCAGTCTTTTGGTAGGGTTTTTTGGGTTTT